GTGATGTTGCTCTCTTCACTCGTCATCTCGAATTGTGAAGATCATGTTCTTTTCATTGCTTATTCCGTTTCAACCGGAGTGGTTACACGTCCTTCCTTGTCGCGGGAGCTCTTCATTCATGTCTTTCAATCCACAAGGTTCCTGTAATGTTCCTTGTTCCTCTTTTCTAACGGAGTGTTTTCAACTTTGTTCATCTTCATTGTATTCTTTCTTTCAATTTGTTTAACCTCTCAAGGTTCGTAGTTTCACTTGTTTGTCGAAGAAGCAACTTTGTTTTACCTCTTCCTCTTCCGCTTCTCTCCGGTGCCGTCCTAGATCTCGGGACGAGATCCTCTTGTAGTGGTGGAGTGTTGTGACGCCCCAAGACCGGAGCTCCAGATGCCTTCCATGGTTTCCGAGATTCGTGGTGTGATTTGTTTTTGCTTGTTGCATTCATCATTGCATCATGTGCATTGCATCATGTCATCGTGCCTTCATTTTTTCAAAGCTAACTAAAACTCAACCAATTAAATTGTATGGATCTTCGATTCATTTAAACCGAGGGAATTCACATGGTGATTCTCTTTATAACATATCCTCCCGATATTAGGGAGCTATATTAAATATTCCATTTTTCGGAATCGCCCATAAACACACTTGCATATTCCCCATGTCTTTTCTAGTTCAAGCTTGACTTCAAAACCTTACCAAAAATTCTCTTCCCATTTACCGAGGTTCCTCCAAAAATCCAAACATTTTTGGGAACTTCAAAATCCTAGTCCTAGTTCAATCCACTTGAATTAAATTCAAATGAGTTTGAATTTAAATCTTTCAATCTTGCCCACTCCAATTTTCTTGGACCGTGCACATTTTTGCGAGTCCGGGAAAATTAACATCTTTCCTAAATTCCTTTCCCTAACCTCCTCTTCCTTTTCCTTCTCTCTAGTGCTTTTCTGTTAAAGAAAAATAGAGAGAGAGAGAGAGAGGCGGCCTGCACTGCTAGCCACTTAGGCCTCCCACCACGCCGGCCGAACTATCTGTTGTTCCCATAGCCCACAAAATCCCTCCTAACCCTCTCCCTCCCCATCTCCCCGTTCTTCCCCCTCCCGCAGCGCCGCACGCTCGCACACATTCAGCACCATGACCGCGCCCGTTTCCTTCTTCTCCCCCGATTACCGCTTGACCTCAATCCCCTCCTTCCTCCTGGCGCCGCCACAGGGTGAGAGAGGGCAGCCCCGCGCCGCTTCTCAACCGCCAGGATCTCCGAGCCGCTGCCTCCCCATCTCCGGCGATGGCCGCCGCCGCTGAGCTCCCAACCTCTGGCAGCCCCTGATGCGAGTCTGGCACCCTGTTTCTTCTTCGTCATCGGCGAGCCACGCCGTCCCTGACCAAGGCAAGGTCGCCGCTCCGGCCAAGTCCCTCGTCCGGATCCGTCAAGCCCCGCCGCCTCCTGTTGTTTTCCTTCCTCGTCGGAGCCGCGTCAAGTCACGTCGCTGCCCTGCTTCCTCGTCCTCGTCGTTGCTTCCCTGCACCTCTAGGCGCCGCCCCTGCAGCTCTCGGCATCGAGCAGGATCAGGAGCGCCACGAGGACGCCCGCCTCAACCGCGCCTGGGCTGCATTCTCGCCCTGGCTGCTTGCCCGTGGGCCACGCGGCCTGATGCCGGCCTCACCAAGGCCCAGCTCCGCCAGCTCCTCCGGCCCATCTCCCGCTGACCTCCTCAAGATCACAACATAGGACCTAAGAACCGTGGCTTTCGCTGCTAATTTCCGTGGACGTCAAGTACGAGTACCACGACCCTGGATGGCAGCGAGTCGTGTACCTCTATAGCCAGTGTGCTTTGCGTCAAGTCCGACTACGACATAAACGACTACGCGATGAACCCGAAGGACTTGGAGTCACCAAGCACCTCTCCGAACGAACGGGGACGACTACCGTCGCCAAGATCGAGAGTACCTCTACGAAAACGCCAAGTACCCCTTCATGTCGGCAAGACCCGCAAGTCGGACCCTGAATGATCGACGACTCGTGGACCATGTACAACTACCGTCGCCTTGGGTTTCGTCAAGTTCCTCACCATGACTATGAACGTCTATGAATCATGTACAACTACTGTTGCCTGAAGAACCGTGGGTCACAAGACTCGTGTACGACTATCGTGAGTACCTCTACCGTCGTCGTGTACCACTACTTCCACTACCGTCGTTGTGGACCGACAAGTTCGCGAGTACAACTACTTCCTCTACGACCCGCGAGAACCGCTACTTTCACTACCATCGCGAGAACAACTACTTCCTCTACGAACTCGAACCGCTCTGAGAATGCTCCCTTGGAAGGTATAACCGCCGGTATGACGCCCGTGGACAAATGCTTGTGATATGTTGTATGAGATGCTCCTGTTTGGTCGTGTTCGCACCGTGTTCGTTTTGTCACTCGTTTCCTTGTCATCGATTCGTGGGACACACGGTATCCGGGATCACTCCCCGTTGCTCTTGCATGTTTCCATCACCCCCACTTGTTCCTTGGACCGAGTTATCGGAACCGGGATGTTGGCGTGGCGCCATGTCCATTTTCACCGCCGTGGCACCATTCCCCTTTCGCCGCCGTGGCACCCTTTCATTCCGTCATGGCGACAAATGCTCTTATGATGCTCATGTCAACTTTTAACAAAAATTGCATAAAACTTACACATGTCATCCGCATCATGATAACAACTTCAAGAATGTTTAAGTTGAGGTTTTCTTTAAATTTCTAAATGACATGTGGGGATTTACCGAAATTGCTGTTTGTTCCGGCCTCATTTAAACTTGTTTAGATCGATGTTTTACTCATGCTACTCCTTTTGCCATGTTTAATAACATTTAATATTGTTGAGTAGTTTAAACAAGAGAGAACTAAATAATTGATGTGGTGTTTCGTCAATGTGCAACTCGTTGCATATTGAGCTCCAGTTAATTTGTAGTACTGTTTCTGCACTTTGCCATGCCTGCCTCTTTAAATCGGACATGCATCATACTTGTTTGTGCATCATGCCATGTTTATGTGATGGTTGTTTACCATGTTGTTTGTTTCTTTCCGGTGTTGCATCTTCTTGTTAGTTCCGGTAACGTTGCATTTGTGAGGATCCGTTCGACTACGTCCGTTTGTCTTCTTCATGGACCCGTTCTTCTTCCTTGCGGAATCTCAGGCAAGATGTCCATACCCTCGAAATCACTTCTATCTTTGCTTGCTAGTTGTTCGTTCTATCGCTATGTCGTGCTACCTACCACTTGTTATATCATGCCTCCCATATTGCCATGTCAAGCCTCTAACCCTCCTTCCTAGCAAACCGTTGTTTGGCTAAGTTACCGCTTTGCTCAGTCCCTCTTATAGCGTTGTTAGTTGCAGGTGAAGCTGAAATTTGTTCCAGGTTGGAACATGGATATGTTGGGATATCACAATATCTCTTATTTAATTAATGCATCTATATACTTGGTAAAGGGTGGAAGACTCGGCCTTATGCCTGGTGTTTTGTTCCACTCTTGCCGCCCTAGTTTCCATCATACCAGTGTTATGTTCCTTGAGTTTGTGTTCCTTGCGCAGTTGGGTGTTATGGGAACCCCTTGACAGTTCGCTTTGAATAAAACTCCTCCAGCAAGGCCCAACCTTGGTTTTACATTTGCCTAACAACCTAAGCCTTTTTCCCTTGGGTTTCCGGAGCCCGAGGGTCATCTTTATTTTAACCCCCCGGGCCAGTGCTCCTCTGAGTGTTGGTCCAAACTAGAGCCCTTTGCAGCACCACCTCGGGGAAACTTGAGGGTTGGTTTTAGTTGTACGGACTGCTCAACCGATGTGCCCTGAGAATGAGATATGTGCAGCTCCTATCGGGATTTGTCGGCACATTCGGGCGGCTTTGCTGGTCTTGTTTTACCATTGTCGAAATTTCTTGTAACCGGGATTCCGAGACTGATCGGGTCTTCCCGGGAGAAGGAATATCCTTCGTTGACCGTAAGAGCTTGTGATGGGCTAAGTTGGGGCACCCCTGATAGTCTTGATCTTGCGGGTGTGAGATTGCTGAGTCCTCGTGACTCACAGATACTTCCAAACAGTTACAGGTGCCGATGATACCAGTGCAGGTGACGCAACCGAGCTCAAGTGGGAGCTCGATGAAGATCTTGGTCATTGTTATTTGTCTTTTCCGGTTGATCAGTAGTGGAGCCTAGTTGGGATGATCGGGGATCTAGCATTTGGGGTTCTCTTTTTTTATTTTGGTTCCGTAGTCGGACCTTGATTGTACTCTGGATAATGTATGTTTAACTTGTATTTGTGTGAAGTGGCGATTGTAAGCCAACTCTTGATCCCTTTCTTATTCAGTACATGGGATTGTGTGAAGATTACCCCTCTTGCGACAAACCCACCATGCGGCTATGCCTCTAAGTCGTGCCCCGACACGTGGGAGTTATAGCCGCATTGTGGGTGTTACAGGAAACCAAGGACCCTACGGAGCCATCATCACGGAAATTATCTCTAGATCGTCACCACTCTCTTGTACCTTTACTTTTGAAAGTCGTCGATGTAATTTCGAAGCTCATAAGTTAGCTAAGTTTGCTTTGTCTTTAGCTCAAGGGCTTCATGTGTGGCTTGGCCAGCCGCATGACCAAATTTGTATCCCACTATCTGTGGATTTTGAATAAAGTGGCTTTACTCCCTCAAAAAAAATCATTAGGATGCCACAGCATCAGAGTGCACACATGCACACATATACAAAGTAGATTTTCCCAAAAGAAAAAGCTTCATGACAATTGGACAGCAGGGGTGCTTTTGATTCATTGTATTTTTCTGTAATTAATAAATAATGGCACTGTTTTTTGCAGGGAGATAATAATGGCACTTGAAAATGGCTTTCTACTTATTTTAGCTACTCCAAAATCCTAACCATGTAACTACATTACAACCCAATTCGAAGCGCGTATACCGGATATAGTTTTGTAAGAAGAGTACGATACATGCGTGCACTCATAATAGTACGTACAAATCCAAAGTGCTAATTTGAAGCAAATTGATCGGGCACAACAAGAAACGGCTTGAATGTCCAAACAAGTCCCACAAGCTCGACAACGGCCAAAAGAAAAAACAACATCTGGTCACCTACATATAGCAAAAGCCAAAAAAAAGAGGAGTTAACAAGAATAGGAAGTTTTCAGAATCTCACTTGTCTAATTATATATAAAAGCATATACTCGTCAAAACAAACTATACAAATCGATTTGTTCATTTATTAGTTTAAATGATAAAGCACTCCTTGCATATAATTTACCTGGAAAAAAGAAAACATGTTGGCGTTTCTGTGCCCATGAAAACCTGCATTACCAGATAATTATTAAATATGTGAACATTAGAACCTTTACATGTTACACACTTTTGTGGATGATTAATTTATCTTAGAGAAAAACTAAATTGGTGCCATCTCCATCAATGATATAAGTACATTGATCACTAGGATTACATTGTATTCGTAGTACACGTCAAAACTAATTGAAACTAACTTTGATTTAGTTTTAACATATGTAGTTCTAACCCTGGTGGTCACTATATTTATATCTTTGATGTAAATAGTAACTCTCCTATCTAAAAAAGTTTAAACCTATTTAAGGATGAAAGATATGGCTTATGTTTTTCCCAGAAATCTGAACCTTGAAAGGGAATTGTATGTGTGGTGGTTGAAATATCAGAAAATGTATCTCATGTCGCTCTAAAATAGAAGCCAAGAGCTTATGTTCCTATGAAATGATAACATAATATGCATTTATACTTACACAATTCCAGCTCCTGCTGGAGCGAATGTTTTACAAAAGGACATTAAAGTGGTGGCTAAGCCATTTGCAGTTGCTCTTTGATCTTGAGTCTGTCAGTCCCATGTATAGAGACAATTACAAAGCTGCAGAAAATGCAATTACACAAAAATAGTAATTGAATAAAATACGAAGACACGTACCACAGAATTATTCTGAAGAATGAATGAACTAGTAACAATGGTAATCTGATAAGTATGTGAAAATGGACAATGTTAGTAAGAATACTGAGAAAAAATTGATGTATATATTTAAAAAAAATCATTGTACAAGGTAAGGTAGCAATTACAAAAGGAGGTTGTTGTTATAAAAACACTTCACATTAGTCATTGCAAAGATAGAAAAGAATCATGTATCAAGGTGTTCATAAATTCTTTAAAATGATGTACAAAAATTTAGGATATGGATACTCACAAGGAAATTATTTTTAAGAATCGATGCAATGTTTACTGCTATTGACGACCAAGGTCTTGAAAGATGTGTGATTGGTGCATATGTAAACAGAAGCACCATAGACATGCTCTGCAAAATCAGTCCACATCAATATTTAGTCAATTCAAACTAACAGTGAACTTCCATTGAAATACAATCATGTATAACTTGAACTCACAATCGCAACACGAGAAGTATTGATTGGTCCCAGAACTCTAATAATACGGGGGAAAATAAATGTTTGGTATACAAGAATGCTAACACCTATACACGAACATATGAAATCATTAGGGGAAACAAGTATTGCAGTATGAAATTAGAAAAATATTATTTTTAAGTAGGAGTTCTTATAAAAGGTAAGGGGCACTAGCATATTTTCATATCATAGTGAAGACACTCCAGCATATCATACAACATATCATAATTCAACAATCTCATACCCGCGAGACAACACAATTCGAGTTGTGAGTACAAAATTGTTTCTCTTTCTCTTGTCAACTAAAATTTGTTTCACTTGATCTTGCCAACCATGGTGTGTGTTGCTCAGTTTCTCTACCCACCAGCATATCAACTCAAACAAGGGATGCCATATGAAATAAGGAACAAGAAGTGGACTAAAGTACTGATACATATTAAGGTTATGCAGATCATTACAATATAGAACAAACATCCATACCTGTAATTGCAAGAACTTGACCAACATCCTCAGACGAGAAACTTAGTCCACCATACTTTCTGCCACTTTCAGCCCATAAGGAGAATATCTAAATATGTGATCCGAAACATAAGTGTTAAGGTGATAGAAACTAAATTTCTAGTCTACACTAACTTTGATTATTGGCACAAAGGGAATGTCCTAAAGGACAATATTTGTTTTTTTTCTTTCACATAGTTTACAATGGGATAATCTGAACAGATTTATAGACCATGGCGACTAAAGCAAGGAGCAGTAAGATATACTGAAAAAAATGTATGGAGACTATTCATTTTGTTGTATCAATGGTATTTTGGCTTAATCAACTCGATCTTCAATGATGATAAATAATTAACTCATGCGGAAACAAAATGATGTGTATGTAATGTTATTAGTTGTGTTTAATACAAAATAATGCAAACTATTTAGAAAATTTATCTAGCTTAGATAACATAACATGTGATTATTCATGTCGTGTCTAACTTGTTAAAATAATTATCGTCAATGTATCAAAGAAAACAATATGGACAATTAATCATGCCTTTCACTATGCATGTGTTTGCTATTAGTTTATCTGAGGCTCAATGAGACCATTTTTTTTGTTGAAAACATATAGTTTTAAAGTAACACCATAAACGAGACATTGGAAACAACAAGTTTTCAAGCAAACCCGTTTAAAAGAATACCTCTGAATATGCCATGTCATCAAAGGACACGATACAAAACAGAATAATAGATGACATCAATGGCCAGTTCTTCAATACATTGTTTTTCATTGTTGAAGTAATATTATGCTCGACAATCTCTTCTGAATTAGAAAAAAATGCAGTCAAAGATTCACTCGCTTGATCTTCCTTTTCGTCAGTGTTGTGGTTATGTAGTGTCTCCTGAAATTTATGTAATGTTATAATTATGTTATTAAGAGCTAGAGATAGCATGAAGTGCACAACGGATCTTATCAAATTAGGACCAAACCAAGTAAGGCCTTTAGGTCTAGCGAATCAGCTGCATGTATGCCTTGTTTTCAGGGAATACTTTACTAGTGAAAAAAGGGAAAACTAGAATCAAGTGATAAGTAATATAATATGTGGTTATGCATTATCTTGTGAAATTTATCACATATTTTGGTTAAATTGCTAAGAGCTTAGGAGCACACAAAATGTATGGTGAACCTTACTATTCATTATTGGTAACTATACAGCTAGAGACATGCATCAAAATGTACATTTTCACAGAATACTTGTACTAGTACTACATAGGAAAATAAAAATAAGTCATAAGTTATATAACCTGACATTTACTGAACCCAGAAGTTGGTGATAAAAGTTGAAATGGTAAAACGATGAGCTTGATTACAATAAAATCTTTGACGTGAGTAGACATCGGACTACTGATCCTAGCATACCATCGGATCAGTGCACAACCATCGGATACTTCCCATTATTTAGACCCTACATTAGAGTACTTTGTAAAAAAAATCTTTATGTGATGAATATTGAATGAATATTTTGTTCGCACATATGCAGCAAAATGTATAAGCAATGAGAACATTGTGGATTAACGGCACATACCGGGAGCCAAATGCAGCTTATTAGAACAGGAAAGCTGAAGACTGATATACACAGACAAGGTAAGAAATATGGGAACCTAAAAAAAATATTTCAATAGTTAATAAGTTGAAGGATAATGAGTAGACGGTAAATAACTTCACAGTAACAAAAAACACCTTCCGAATAATGAGTCGACGGGAAATAACTTTGGATATTTTTCTGTAGGCTATCAAAAAAGTAAACGTAACACATAATATGAATTGATTAATATAGGATACAGTAACTCATGTATTACTACAGTTTCCATGGATACCTGTGCAAGATATCCGCCAATCGTTGGTCCTACAATTAGACCTATTGCCCATGCTGTGCTAACCTATTCATACAAAAAGAATTGAATGCATTATCTAAATTATAGAATTAGAGTACAATGGAAAATGTTTGGAGCATAATGTGTAATTTACAAGTGATAATGCAATAGCATGGTGCTCTGGTCGACAAACTTCAATAGCATAAGCCTGCAACGATCAATTGCCAAGTAAACAGCCTTAACTTGTTCAAATGACAAATAAAACTTCAGAGCACACAACCAACATACTCGTATAGGTCCAATTATGCCGTTCAAAGAACCAAGAAGAAATCGTGTAGATATTGCCATCCAGTAATGCACACTTAGTCCGAATAAAGCACTGAATAGAAACCTGAGATATTATAAATTTCACATCATCAATTTTGGATGTGTGATAAAAATATAGTGAAAGCAAAATACCGCTAGCTAGTACCTAAATTCATTCTTATGTAAACATAGAAGAAGTATACTAACACGGAGAAAATTCCAAGCACAATAACTGGCTTTCTCCCAATGCGGTCTGCTACCATCCCCCAAGCCGTGGAGGTTAAAGTTCTACCAAGCATATAGGAGGCACCTACAAAGATTCAGAATAGGCCATTAGTCATTCTTCCTGAGTGAGAGTGCACAACACGTTTGTATTATCTGTAAATATAACACTCTTGGAACTCAGAGTTCCAACAATTTGTAAGGGTCTTACCTACAAACCCAGCATAGAATCCAATGTCCTCTACTGTTTTGGCAATGTGCAAGTCTCGTATCTGTTATTTGAGAGGAGTATCACAAAATATTTTTCAGAGGTTACCTGTGGTCATGGATAATGTTGGGCCGACATTTGCATAGATGCATGATTACAGTATTATTAACATAAATAACCAAGTCAGGACAAATGTACCAAACACTGTCCCATACTGCAGATGCATCCTATTTATGTTAGTAAAATGCTATCATATCGTATTACAATTTACAACCTTGGAGAACTAAATAATAACATGACAAATGAATATGTAATGCAGACACAAACTATGTACGTAGACAAAACTAGAGCGTATTTATAGTTTCAAGATTCAATATTTAATATTTCCTACAATGCAAAGCTTATTGTCTAGACAAAAAAAAGATGTAGGCACATTCTAAAAAAATGATGTAGGCACATAATTCCATAAGCAGAATCTTGTATTCTTTTGATCCCAAATGTTATGGTTTTCTTTTACATTAGAAAAACGTACCATGAAATACAAGAAGGGGAATAGCGACGATATTGGCAAACCTAGAATGAGAAGGGCAAAGAGTTAAAAATACACCTTTTACATTGATGCTCAAATTATCAGACGGCACAAAAATAGAGCAAAGGTAGATAAAATCATGCATAAATGCATTAGCCAGACATTTCAGAAACTGATTCCTCGTTGATTCTGCCACGGATAACTGCAGTAGCTTAAGCTGCCAAACTGACACACCGATCTTCTGAGATGGCACCAAAACAGAACAACTACGACTTAAAATGCTCTGCTTCACATCACCTGACCTCACCCAGTTTAGCTGGACAAAGCATTCCAAATATGTTCCAGAGAGAGAGAGAGAGAGAGAGAGAGAGAGAGATGTGATGCAGAAGTAACAAGTAGCTAGACCAGCTAGGTAGATACATACATGAGACGAGGATGATGGTCCAGATGTGGAAGAATTCCTTGTAGGGGACGCCGGGGTTCAGCGTCTTCCTCCGCTCCACGGCGCATCCCGGGCACCCTTCACGGTAGACCGCCGTCTTCTTCTCCAGCAACGGTGCTGCTGCCTCGCCACCGGCCATCGATCCTTTATCCAGGCTCGCCGCTCAGTAGCTCAGCTTCAATCAGTGTGTACAGCGCAATTAACAACCGAGGGCCAGGGGTGGTTTTTATGCATGTGCTCAACTACCGTGGGCACAAGTTGATTGAGACATGCATGTAATGTTGTTCTTGGAACCGGTCTCTTAATGTCGTTTCATCTGCAACAATCCTAGTCGATCTGCGTGCGTGGCGTCTTGCCAGTCTCTCGTGTCCGTTCTCCAAACAGTGCTTTGATATGTCCCGCTGGTTTTGTACGATGTATGTGTTCTTGAATCTTGTTTTGTACTCTGCACCATCCTAGCTAACTGCTTCCACACAATCCGATACGATGTCTATTGTGAGGCCAGCATAAGGCCTTCCTTGATAGCCAGGATTTCCGATTCCAAACACATCATCACACGAAAATAAATGCCGACATGAACACAAAACGAGTTCTCGAATCTTGTTGAGAGGCCTCCCGGGCACCACTCATGCTACACCGCGCGCCCGCCACCTTCTCCCCCGTCTCCATCAACGGTGGCCTGCCTCGATCGCTGGCGGTCATCGATATTTTCTTTCTCTCTTCTCCCAAAACCTGTAGAGTGGGCTGCGCAAGTATACATGTGATCGGTTGTGGTTTGTCTTAACCTAGAAGACACAACTACTCCCTCCCTTTTGAATTATTTATCGCAGGTATGGATATATCTAGATGTATTTTAGTTCTAGATACATCTATTTCTGTGACGAATAATTTGGAACGGAGGGAGTATTAAACAGAGGATGGCTCATCCCAGGAGCTAGCTCCATCACCGTAATTATACGTTGATTGGGATGTGCAAGACTGTGGAAATACTCTCTGTCTCATTTCACCTAATCCCGATCATTGTATGGCATCTTGTCGGTCGCACGTGCCGTCTTCCAAACAATGCTCTCTCCCATCCCTTGATCTTTACATGCCTAATATTTTTCAAGCGTTAAAAATCACAGTACTTGCATTTGCATGCAGACTTATAATCTTATTTACTTCTGTCATTCTGCTTCTTAGAATAAAATATAACCGGCTCCAATATTTTTAAATCACTTCAGCCTTTGTTCGAAAATAGATGAAATTACAGTACTTGCATTTACATGCAGACTTATATATTTTTCTTTACAAAGGGAGTATGATGCAAGCCAGCAGCAGCACACGCACATACCACTGTCCAGTGGTGGAGCTTGTCCAAAATAGCTGGGCGGGCCGGCTGATAGAAACAGCTATTGGGGTTGTGTTCTGTGGCCCAACAATAGATATAACATGAAAAAAATCTCATAAGTTGGGAGGGCCGGGGCCCTTTGGGCCTTGCTGTAGCTCCGCCACTGCCACTGTCTATCAAAGGTTTTCGAACAAATTATTGTGCTCACTTCGATTTTAGACCCAATTCTTATGCATTAGCTCTGCAACTGTGTCCACCTAGTGGCCGAAGATGTAATTGGCGCATACAGTAATTTGTTTATAGACGGTCTAACTTTAGCAACCCCCCTTTCCCCGTTCGTTTGGTGCTTCCTTCTTTGCCTGATTCCCATCTCCTTAATATTCTCTCAAATATTGGTGTTTCTGTTGATTGCAATGTTGGGTCCCCTGCCTCTTTACTTTCTCTGATCCGTTTGAATGAGGAGGCCCAGGCGGGCATTGCTAGGGCCAAGGAGGCCGCTGCCAGGAAAAAGGTGGCCTCGGATGTTGGTGAGGTTGGTGGGTCGGGGGAGGGTGGTGGCCCTCCTCCCACAACATCAAAAAAGGGGCGGCCTTCTAGATCTAAATCCTGCGTGGCCCCGAGCAGGTCGAGTCTCCGCATCAAAAACCTTTCTTTTGAATGAAAGCTGTGTTCGGGAACATCCGGGGTTTCGGTGCTAGGGGGCGTCGTGACCAAATCCAAGATTTGGTGCATGATGATAATATCGATATTGTGTGCCTTGTTGAAACATTCAAAGCCTCTTTTTCTCATTCGGAGTTATCTACGGTTGCTGGTGCGGATCGGTTTGTGTGGCGCTGTCTCCTGGCGTCCGGGCATTCTGGTGGCATTCTTATTGGGGTGAAGGTGGATTTTTTCGACTTTGTTGCTTTCGATCATGGGGTCTTTTGGGCTAGTATGGTGGTGTTCCACAAGAATCTCAATATGCTTTGGGAGATTATGGTGGTTTACGGTCCAGCCGATCATTCGTTGACCCCGCTGTTTCTAGATGAACTCACCACTAAGATTGATTCTTGTAACATTCCACTGGTCATTAGGGGTGATTTCAACCTTCTTAGGTTCCCTGCTGAGAAGAGTAATTCTAAGTTTTCGTGTCCGCTAGGTGATGCGTTTAACAATTTTATTGCGGATTGTGCCCTTCGTGAACTACCTAGGACTGGGGTGCGTTTTACTTGGTCTAACCATCAGGCTTTTCCGATCCGCTCGGTGTTAGACTGGGTTTTCTCCTCCTCTCCTGGTATTTGATTTTCCTCGAGCTTCTCTCTCTGCCTTACCCCATGTTGGTTCAGACCACTCCCCTCTCATCTTGGAGTGCCCGCTCCGGCTATAGTTTCCGTGTTTCAGTTCAATGCTTCTTGGCTTCTGGTCGATGGTTTTTACGATATGGTTGAAGAGAAGATCTCTTCCCTCTTACATTCTAGAATCCTTTCTTTTGGCCCTATGGATGATTGGCATTTTTGCTCATATCAACTTCGTAAATTTTGGAAGGTTGGGGCCGTAACCGTACGGTCGAGGCTCTTAAAAGTAAGCGCGAACTGTTGGGGCAGGTGTCAACGCTGGATGCGGAGGCTGACTCTTCTGGGATCTTGACTGCTGGTTGGCAGCATAGGTATGACCTTGAGGCCAACCTTTTGCAGCTTCACCGACAGGCTGAGGTTTACTGGAAGCAGCGTGGCACGATTAACTGGACCCTGAAAGGGGATTCACTCAGTGCTTATTTTTTTGCTATTGCTAATGGTCGACGTCGTAAGTACTCGATTAATAGTCTGGTAATTGATGGGATCCGGGTTGATGATTCCCGCCTTATTTTGGAGCACGTGCATAATTTATTTGTTGGATTGTTAGCTGCTTCCCGCTTTACCCATGGCTTTTCAAACGATGATTCCCGCTTCCGGTTTTGTTATCTCGCCCAATCTCTGGGATGAGCAGAGACGGGTCTCGGAGGAGGAAAACCTGGCGCTTTTGATCCCTCTTTCTGTGCATCAGATCGAATTGGTTATCAATTCTGCTAACATGAATTTGGCCTCGGGCCTCGATGTCTTTTCTATCCCTTTCTTTCGTCGTTTCTGGTTGGTGTTGCGTCCTTTGGTTTGTGCTGTCATCCAAGGTTTCTGTTTAGGGACTGTCGACATTTCTCGTCTTAACTACGCTATTTTATCTTTTATTCCCAAAGTAAAGGGTGTTGATTCTATCTCCCAATTCCGCCCTATTGCTCTGATTAATAAGTTTGCCAAGTTCTCCTCTAAAAGGTTGGCGACAAGGCTGTCGCTTGTTGCCCATCGTACCATTAGTCCTACCCAAACCACTTTTATCACAGGAAGGGGTATTTTGGATGGTATTCTATGCTTACATGAAATCGTTCATGGCCTCAGGAGGAGAGGCTCTCATGCTATTATACTCAAACTTGATTTCAAGAAGGCATATGATTCTATTAGTTGGGATTTTCTCCGTCAGGTTCTGCATGCCAAAGGGTTTGATGTTGGGTTTGTGCATAGGCTGATGCAACTTGTTTCTGGTGGACACACTGTTGTGGCAGTGAATGGCTCCATCATCAAGTACTTTACCAATGGTCGTGGCCTGTGGCAAGGTGACCCGATTTCGCCCATTCTTTTCAATTTTGTGGCGGATGCCCTATCTTGCATGCTGGATCGTGCCGCTTCGTCTGACCATATATCTCCTGTCATATCCCATCTCCTCCCGCGGGGCATTACTCACCTCCAATATGCTAATGACACAATTATCTTGGTGGAGCTGAACGAGGCTTGTCTTGCCAATCTTAAGTTTATCCTATTATGTTTTGAAGCTTTGTCGGGGCTCAAAATTAATTTTTCAAAAAGTGAGGTGATTCTGACTGGGGTTGATGCAGCTGAGGCCTTGAGGGTGGCACAACTCCTAAATTGTTCGCTTGGTTCCTTCCCCTTAAAGTACCTAGGTACGCCAATCTCTCCTTTACATCTGTGTGCAAAGGAATTCAAGTCTTTGGTTTCCAAAGTAGGCAACATAGTAATGTCGTGGCATGATAGACATAATACCTCGGTCGGGAAAGTATGTCTCATTAATGCGTGCCTCTCCTCCCTTCCTTTGTTCATCATGGGCTTCTTCATGTTATCTAAGGGTACACATGCGGGTTTTGACAAGCATAGGGGTGTCTTTTTTTGGAACTCTTCGGATAACAAACGCAAATACAGGTTTGTCAAATGGAAGATCATTTGTAGACCTAAAAGCCTTGGGGGGGCTTGGGATTTTGAATACTTCTGTTATGAACAAATGCCTCATCGTTAAATGGTGGTGGAGGATAATGACAGGTTCCCCTGGCACTCTTCGGTTTGATCTTTTGAAAGCTAAGTACTTCCCTTCCGGTAGCCCCATGTTTCCTTCTGCGTCTCGTGGGTCCCAGTTTTGGAGACACTGAATCAGAGTTAGGGGCGTGTTTCGTGATCACGTCAAGTTTGTTGTGAGGAACGGTGCTTCGACTCGCTTCTAGTTGGACTAGTGGTCTAGCGATGCTCCTTTAGCCTCTTCTTTTCTGGTTTTGTTTTCCTACTGTTTCCAATCCTGATATCTCAATCTCTGAGCTCTCTCGTAATAACTGGGATCTGGGTCTCCGGAGATCTCTTTCTCCTATAGAGTTGGAGGACTGGCACCGGCTTGCTGCCTTGTTCCCTTCCCTCTCGGAGGAGGATTCGGTGGTCTGGCCCCATGTGGCCTCTGGGAGATTTTCGATCACATCTCTTTATTTCAGGATTATTGCCGGCTCCCCCATATCTAAGTTCAAGCATATTTGGGCAGCCATGACCCCCCCCTAAGATTAAGATTTTTTCTATGGCAGGCCTTTAGAGGTCGATTGCCTTCGGCGGACCAGATTCGCAAGAGGAATGGTCCTGGTTTGGCTTTTTGTTCTCTATGCTCTACTCTAGAAAACACCAATCATATCTTCTTTGGCTGTCCGTTGGCCAAACTGGTCCGAGGTTGTGTTTGTTCTTGGCCGAGTGTTTCTTGGGATCCCACCTCTTTCTCATACCTTCGACTATTAGCTGGCAACATCCAGGGTCTGTCTAAGAGGCTGTTTTGGGCTGGGTTGGGTGCTCTTTGCTGGTCTTTGTGGACTACTAGGAATAAATTCACTATTGAGGGTGTTTTTCCTAACAAACCGGCTGATGTCCTGTTTAAAATGTCTCTTCTTGCAGCAGTGGAAATTATTGACTAAGCCAGCGGATCTGGACGGTATGGAGGAGTTGATCAACAAAGTGTGGGCGCCTGCCAATCTGATGTCCTCTCCTGCCACCGCTAATTCCTCCTAGGTTTTTGGGTTATCCATGTTTTGCAGTAGGTTGTTGGCCTGCGCGCCTTCTTCTGTGACATTTGGGCATGTGTGCCTCCGAACTTCTGTGTTGTGCAAACTGCGGCTTTTGACCGTCTGACGTGGTTACGTGGTACGCTTGTGTTTGGTCTGTCTAGTAATCTACCGTGTGGCTTTATCTATAAAGTCGGGTTTATGTCTTTTCTCTAAAAAATAACTTTAGCATCACACTAGACGGTCATTCAAGATCCGATACACCAATTCATCAGAAGGGGATGATTCTAGGGTTCTAGGAGGAAGAAGGAGATCTTATCAAAAAGGAGGAAGAAGGAGAGAGGCACACGCAGGTGCAGAGAGAAAGAGAGAAGAGAAAAGAGATATCTGTTCTTGGTCGCCTCCTTGAGAGCTGCCCCCCTCATCAAAGCTGCTGACCGTTGCGTACATGGGCCGGCCTTTGAGTGTGTGCCTAGTCCTTCCTGACGGGCCTCCAGCACCGGTTGGTGGTGGGCCCTGCTTGTCGGTGGCAGACTTGGTCGTGACACTCCACTTGTCTAGAGGTGGGGGTGCCGGCGCCGGCGCCCTGGCCCCGCCATCTCACCTCGGGAGAAGTTACCAGAAAATAATGAGATGGAGGAGGAGCACAGCGGCGGGGTGCGGCGGAGGTGGCTCGTCGACGTCGCCCGCTGGCGCCCCTCCCCGACGCAGTTCCAAGCCGCGGCTGCCCTCCTGCCGCCGCACCACCGCCATGCCATCGCCAGGTAAACTCTCCCTCCAATTCAACTCCCCCCCATGCTTCCTTGCCCTCTTAACTATGCCCTTCGGAGATGGATAAGAAAAAAACCCATGGAATTGGTAGGGTTGAATTCGAATCAAAACCCCTGACTATGCCCTTCGGAGATTGATCTTGCTGTGGGATTCAACCCAACTCGCTGGTGCAGGTTTGTCAAGGAGGAGGACAGGAAACGAGCGCTCATCAGCCGGCTGCTCCAGTACTCGCTTGTGCACCGTGTTCTTGGCATCCCATTCCACCAAATCGACATATGCCGAACAACTGAAGGGAAGCCGTATCTGGTACTGCAGCTTGTTCAATCAATTTCATTCCGACGTCACTACAACAACTCTTTACCCTTTACTTACTCTCAACTACATCAACGGATGAAATGAGCATTTGTTAGGTCCAATAGCTTCTGCAATCAATGGATCACCCTCTTATTAAGTTATATGCCCTTGTCATTCTTGCAGGAGAATGGCCCTCCGGCCTTCAGAAACTTCAATTTCAACACGTCGCATCAGGGTGACTACGTCGGCATAGCATCTGAGCTGCTTTGCCTTGTTGGCCTTGATATTGTGTGTATCTCTAAGCCTCAGGGAGAAACCACCGTAGAATTCCTTAAGAACTTCTCTTCGTACCTCACAGACCATGAGTGGAACTGCATTGATCGTGCTGCCGGTTCCATTGAGATGTTAACAGAGTTCTACAGGTAATTATTTGTTGGGAGCTTTCTGATAGACAATAATGTACAGAGAATCAGCATCCAGAGTTGTGGTTGAGTGTCGGGCCCTCTACCCTGATGGATAATTCAGAAGACTATGAGCTAGTTCTAGAATCACCACGAAAAAAGCACAATAAAAGAGTAGTAGATCAATGCTACTACTTATGAATTTCTGCTGAAACCTAACCAAGTACCTGTACTCCCATGTCCTAAAAGTTATCATTGCTGCACTCAAGTTCATAGATGCTGCAGTGTTTAACAACCCATTCAGCTGCGTGAGGCTTGAGTCCTAATTTTTAATATTTTAGCAAAAACAAATCTCTGGGTTTTGCCAACAATGTGGAAGGAGATTTTTTTTACTAAAATAAATAGTTTTAAGATTTTGAAATAAGTACGCTTCAAACACTACCAAGGATGTGGTTCTGCTTTTGTAAGAAGTGTATGTTAGCAGCTATGTTAGTTGATATCATCTCCATGCTTTGATGGTCTGCATAGTATAAATTGTTTGTCTTTCTTTTGGAAGAAAGACAGCCAAAGTGCATCTTAGATTTGATAATTATCAAAGAAAACAACCAGTACATTACATTGAAAAACATACTAGCCTTCTTCTTCCTCCGATTGACTGCCGCCCGTTGGAGATTGAAATCGCACTGAACCAACGGTAAAGAAAAGGGACACCTGCAAATGCCCTCGCCATACCAGGCTTTAAATTGTTCGTCTTTTGTAGGTACTGGTGTCTCAAAGAAGCATTTGTTAAAGCTGTAGGCGCTGGGGTTGGATTTGGGCTGCATCGCTTGGAATTCCACCATGTTGAATGGAGTAACATCTCTGTCTACATTGACGGGATAGAGTCTAGGAAATGGAGGTTCTGCCTTTTCAAGCTTGATGAAATGCATTTGGTATGTATGGATTTGTTCACATCATATTCTTTGCACAGATAGAAATCCAATTCAAAATCGATCTGGTGATATAAATCTGTTATATGTTCTTTACAAAGCGTGGAGTAGGGATATGCTCTTGCAGGTTAGTTCTTGTGACAGGTTACTTACCATTACAAATGCAATTGCAGGCGTCCATAGCGAAAGGGCATCCGGAGGATGCTACACACAGCTTCAAGACAACATTGTCTGATGTGGTTGTTGAGGACGAAGAATTTTATGCTGCACTAGAGATACCAGATGAAACTTTCACGCTACAGACAGCGGAGCAACTTACACAATTATAGTCTTAGCTGGCTAGATTTCTTACATAGTGCAGTAACATATGAGTGCAGGATTATATCAAGAGATGAAACGCCTTAGGCTTATTAATTCCCAGTTGCATACCACTTCACGAATGAATCAAGAGATGACATATATACTTGAAGGTGTCAAATAAGTAGATAATCAAGAGATGACATATACATGAAGAAGGTGTCAGGATTTGATAAAAAAAACTTGAAACTAGAAAGATAGATGAATGCCTGCTAAATGTAGGCCAATTTTTATTCAGAACAAGGATGCATGATTTATGCTCAGAGCTTTTGCGCAGGATGATCTATCAGGATTTTTTTTCCAATTTATGGCAAAAGGAAATCACAATTTTGGAAGGGTTTACATGCTATAATAATCTGGTTTACGATGAGAGCTGCATATATTGTAGATTTGTAGTCAAGTTGTCTCATGCGAAATTTTGGCCAGGTGTCTCTAGTCATTTCTCAACATAATCACTGTGTAATACAGCCATCTTATTTGGAGCTTCAGAGGCCTCTCAAGGTTGAAACATTCTGTATGGCTGCTTCCAGGTGATAGAGATCTGAGGCGTGGAGGATTACTCTGTAAACCATGTAGAGATCTTGAATCGTCAGAACAGATGCTGTTTTAGTTGCCTTTTTGGTAAATTTTCATTGGTGTGTGCATAGAGATTGAAGAGTCCTGGAACCTTATGGATGCTGTAGGTAACACAGATGACAAATGTTGAATCGACTTCAATTCTATGCATGAGGGCTGCAAGCCTGCAGAACGATATATTTTATTTTGAAGTATAATTTGTAAACCTTTAGGATGATCACCCCAAGTGCAACCGCAACATATTAAAAATAGCAATCTGAACTCACTTCCATAATGTGCCTTTATCTTGGAAAATAATGGACATACACTCGAAGAGTTGTATTAGTATCAAAATGGGGAGTACCAGGAACTGACGGCCATGGCTATAAAACATTGACCGGAAAAGAGAGCAAGTGAGGAAGCAAGGGAGCAAGCAAGCTATATCCGGAGTCCGGCGCCCGTTGCCGCCATTCCCTCCACACCTTCCAAACTCCAAATCCATCTTTTTCTCTGTCGCACAAAGGCTTTCCAACCAAACAAAGCGAAAAATGCTGCATGCTGGTCTCTCTTTTGGCCGGTTCTCCATGCATGCCTTTGTCTCCGTCGGAGAGCCATGGGCCAATGCTGCGCCAAGGGTGCCGGGCGCGCCGGCGACGCCAACTCGGACCCGCCGCTGCCCCCGCCCGCAGCCCCAAAGGTGGAGCCCGTTGCATCGTCGTCGACCGCCAGCAACGGCGTCGCGGCGCCGCCGGCCGCCAATGCCAAGCCGGGCAAGCCGCCGCCCCCCGTGGGCGAGGTACTCGGCCGCGCCATGGAGGACGTGCGCACCACCTACTCCATCGGCAAGGAGCTCGGGCGCGGCCAGTTCGGCGTGACCCACCTCTGCACGCACCGCTCCACCGGCGAGAAGCTGGCGTGCAAGACCATCGCCAAGCGCAAGCTGGCCAACAAGGAGGACGTGGAGGACGTCCGGCGCGAGGTGCAGATCATGTACCACCTCTCCGGCCAGCCCAACATCGTCGACCTCCGGGGCGCCTACGAGGACAAGCACAACGTGCACCTCGTCATGGAGCTCTGCGCCGGCGGCGAGCTCTTCGATCGGATCATCGCCGAGGGCCACTACACGGAGCGGGCCGCCGCCGCGCTGCTCCGGGCCATCGTCGGCATCGTCCACACATGCCACTGCATGGGGGTGATGCACCGGGACCTCAAGCCGGAGAACTTCCTCCTGCTCAGCAAAGGGGAGGACTCGCCGCTCAAGGCCACCGACTTCGGCCTCTCCGTCTTCTTCAAGGAAGGCGAGGTGTTCAGGGACATCGTCGGCAGCGCATACTACATCGCGCCGGAGGTGCTCAAGCGGCGCTACGGCCCCGAGGCTGACATCTGGAGCATCGGCGTCATGCTCTACATCTTTCTCGCCGGCGTCCCGCCGTTCTGGGCGGAGAACGAGAACGCCATCTTCACCGCCGTGCTACGCGGGCAGGTCGACTTCAACGGCGATCCATGGCCAAACATCTCCTCCGGCGCCAAGGATCTTGTCAAGAAGATGCTCAACATCAACCCCAAGGAGAGGCTCACGGCCTTCCAAGTCCTCAGTAAGCACTCTCCCAAACCTGATTCATGCGTCATATGGTTCATGTGTCGAAGCTTATGGCCTGAAAATTGTGTGGATTTGAGTTGCCAGATCACCCGTGGATCAAAGAAGACGGAGACGCACCCGATACGCCGCTCGACAATGTCGTTCTCAACAGGCTCAAGCAATTCAGGGCCATGAACCAGTTCAAGAAAGCTGCGCTGAGGGTAGGAGGAACTCTTGTTTTTCTCCTCATATCTAGCTGTTGAACTGAACAAACAATGCTTAGATTGCAGTTTGTCAGGCACTCAACATTGATGGTGTGTGTGCTTTCAGGTTATAGCTGGGTGCTTGTCGGAAGAGGAGATCAGGGGGCTCAAGGAGATGTTCAAGAACATCGACAAAGATAACAGCGGCACAATCACGCTCGAAGAGCTCAAGAACGGGCTAGCAAAGCAGGGCACAAAGCTGTCAGACAATGAAATTGAGCAACTCATGGAAGCAGTGAGTCTTCACTCTTCAGCGAGCTATCGATAACACGGTTCCATTGCAGGACAGGTTTTTCATCAAAATTCATCTGTACTTCAAATTTCTCCAGGCTGATGCAGATGGCAATGGATTGATTGACTACGAGGAGTTCGTCACCGCGACAGTTCACATGAACAAGATGCATAGAGAGGAGCACCTATACACAGCATTCCAGTTCTTCGACAAGGATAACAGTGGGTAAGCTGAACAACAAAATCAACAGACTAGGTAGCTGAATTCTGTAGTTTAGATAGCATTTTACTACAACTTATGTTTTATCTCAAAAATCTTGCAGGTACATAACAAGAGATGAGCTCGAGCAAGCCTTGAAGGAGAAGGGAATGTATGATGCCAAAGAGATCAAGGAGATCATCTCAGAGGCTGACACTGACAATGTAAGATAGCAAGTATAAATTGAGTATGCATTACACATACGCAATCTGATGCACGGAAGTTAAATTGCACACAAAAAATAGGACCTGATAAAATCAAATTGATAGCCAGTTTACTCAGTTGACAATGATTAATTTATTTTATTGCACATATAGGATGGGAGGATAGATTATTCAGAATTCGTGGCGATGATGAAGAAAGGAGCAGGCAGCACCGAGCCAACGAACCCAAAGAAGAGGAGAGATCTAGTTCTAGAGTGAAACAGGCATTTTAGCTCAAACAAGGAGATGTGCAGTCACCACCAGTGCAGAGTGCATAATGGAACCCTCTTTCCAGATGCTTCTCAGCATGAGCTCAAAATCGTGGACAGATTTGTACAATCTACTTACTAGTTGCTGAGGAGTACCACTTGGATTGGAATCCACATACATACCCATGAATTTGGGGAAGAAAGATGGAGTTGTCTCCCACCTGCACATTTTTGTCATCTTGTACACTTACACACTTACATAAGATGTTGGTGGTGCGCAAGCCCTAGAGGTCATCGGTGCATTCATGAGGGTGCAAGCCTCTGCTGATGTGGTTGATGGAGAAGAAACATAGAGGACTAGATGAATGAAGATATGATTGGTCTTCACCAACAATTTCAAGACTACATATGGTATATAGTGAGGCCAGATGAATTGATTTACTTGTATTACAACAGGTCTGAACTAAATAGATGATTTCATTTGCTTATGTTACACCAGATGAATACAATAAGTTGACAAAAGATTCATAACAGTGTAGTTTAAAGAAATTATTTCACTGCGTCTGGTGTTCCTTGGTTTGTCATTACAGAGAATTGATGCATTGCAGGAGCATCACGAAACAAGATCTAATGACCCACCGACACTGAAAAGCCTGGTCGCAACTTCATCAAACTTACTCCATCCCAAGTAAATGAACAATCCAGGATGTGATAAGCTAATAATGTAAGCAGATACCTGCGCAAATGAAAAGAAAAATATTGTGTCAATGGAAAGTGAGGTCGCTACTTATTGGACAATTTGCTATGGGATGCATCAGCGGAATCTCCCAGGTTCCTGCCACCAAATGGTTTGCGAGGAATGAGCGCTTCTCACCTCGAGAAAATCCATTTATTCGCCGAATATCAGTGGTGTAGTTAAAGTCTAGTTAATTCACCGGAAATCGTTCTATGATGCCATACTATGAGTACAAGGAGATGCATGAAAGGGGAAAAGCATTTTTTTTCATTTTTTTTAAAGTGTGGAAGCATGTATTTACCTAGTAGAGTTTATTTTGCAGTTTCTAGAGAACCATTGCCTTGCAGTGCTTCACGTTCCCTTTGACGGCGTTCTCTCTGCAAATTTGGACAAGAAATTACACATTACACACACGAAATTGAAAATTGTATCCAATAAATCAAGATCCTAGTACTCTCATTGCAAGTTGTTGGGAAGCAAGGATGGGTCTATCATGGAACATGTGCAGTGCAGATGTAGTTTCCCTGGAAGAATTTACAGAACGACATTAAGTGGCGCAATTCAACTGGGCAAGGCACTCCTCAAGGCGTAATCGCTTTGGTCCAACAGCACATCCAGTCCAAACAACTTATCTATCGAACCGCTCCCAGGCATTTCCACAAACAGCTGATGTGCAGATGCGCAGGGGCAAATCTAGAACAAGACTCCAACCAAACAGGCACTCGTTCTAGCTAGGAATTACACGGTGATTGAAGTTTGCAGTGGATATGTCTCAACCAACGACGATCACAGGCATTTCCGCATACAGTCGGAGAAGAAGGAGCGGGGAGAGGGTGGGGGTACCGTACCCTGCGGTCCCAGTAGGGGTGGAAGCAGACGAAGTCGTAGACGGGGGTGATGGTGCTGAGGAGGACGAGGTTGACGCTGTTGAGTATATTGTGTACGTGTATATGTGTGTGTAGGGCCCACCTCCTGTTTTCCTTGTATAGTTGAGGTTGTTGCCCACCTCTGTACTTATATATACGTGCCTGGTGCACCGATCAATATATCGCGATTACACAGCCATAACTTGTCCTTCTACATGGTATCTATCGCAGCAAGATCCTAACCCTAGCCGCCGCCGCCTCACGCCGCCGTCACCAGCCGCCGCCGACG